AAGATCCACAATAGCCCACAGGACAAGCAAGCCTCCAAGACCGAACCTGATGCATCCCCTGCGAATGCAGAAGGTGTACACTGGGTACACCAGCAAGAGAACTCAACGCCAGACAGCACAAACACAGAGCACATGGCAGATGGGGAGAATTACAGGAAATCAGTGAACACCCAGCACTCACCAAAAGGGACACCATCATCACGAGTATCAAGCAGCTACATCCATGCTCTGTCCGTCCAGCAATGAAGGTCAGCAAACAGAAGATAGCTCTGCAAAACTTCAGCATCACCATCAGAGACATCTGTTACCCTCTACATGTACGTAGTAGCTCAAACATCCACAGACCCCCAATTGCCTTCCTCCTCCAATTTCTTAGACCTCCTCCTCCAATGTCTTCTAAGGATGTGACGTTTCATTTTGTAAATGTTTAGCAAACATTTAAAGAACCATCTCAATGTTGAGCCCTTTCACAAAGACTGATGACTGCCCATTGTGCAGACCAACATGATCGACACAATAATTTAATAATAAAAGAGTAACATAATAAAAAGAGGGCTGTCATTGAAAACAATAAAAAGATGAGCACGTAGCCTGAAAGTAATCTAGTACTGCAGTTCTCCTTAGCTTTTAGCAAATTGAATAGGTTTGAATTATTTTTGTTATGCGTGCTCAACTCAAAGGAAGATAGCGGAAAATAGGTTCCTGCTTTTAAAATTTGAGTTTTGTTAAAACCTTTGGAAAAATACGATTTAGAACTTTGTTTATTATATTAAATGTTTAAATGTGTAAATGTCACATCCATAATTTCCTCACTCCACCAATACATAGTTCCCCTTTTGCCTGTGGATTTCAGTTTAATGTTGACACTCAGCCTGCAGAGGATGAAATTACTTTTTGATATCAGATTTTATATATTTATTGAATTTGTTAAAAGCACAAGTAAATTAATGTGCACAGTTTAACTGGCTAAATTAAATGTATGATATACATCTTTTGTCAAAGTGGATTTTTGTAAATTTTCACTTACTGATTCTAATTGTTTCAGCTTCTCTTCAAAAAATGCAATGTACCCACTGACACCCTATAGTGAACATAGTTAAACAGTACAACTGCCAATGCATCAACCTTCCGCTAGAATCATTCGTGGGTTTATCTCTATCCTAAATGCTGGAGATGTTTATCATGAATTTCTTCCCGCATGTACACTTCCAGCAAGTTCTTATTAAAAAGGGGCCTATGGGTCATTCTTCAGTATCAAGTGTCTACTTTCATGTCCCGACACTTTAAGGCACTATACTTCGAAAAAATATAGAATGAAAATTAGATTTTTGAGCAGTGAAATTAACTTTAACACGACTCCTATTATGTGCAGTGTTAAAAACTCTTTAACATAATGGACAAGATGCTCATTCTTTACAATACTCCCTCAAAACCCCCTGAAAATGCATGTCCCAGTGTATTTCTCAATATGTACCTACTGCCATAATTTGTAAACAACTTGAAAAGGTAATTATACCTCCAAAAGCCAAGTAATATAATAATTGTCATTTCCGTCACAAAAGGTGTGACGGATATGACTTGTGCATTCTTTTCACAATCAATATTTCTTTGGGTCCTATTGAAAATAAAGGAACCCAGCATTAATTATTTCTTATAGAAAACTACTTCACATCACCACTATGATACAACAGAGACTTAAATAACAGAGAGAGATATGTTGCAAGGATGAATGAAGTCCCTGAAAGCCATCAGCCCTGTTTTTGGCACATAATAATTATCAATTGTCAGATTGATCTTTGATCAGGCCAATTAAATATGTTGAACACTTTCAAGTGCTTCAACATGGGGGGATGCACATATTGTGACGTACGTGAGTAACCACTAGCTTAATTGTCACTTCCTTAACATGCTCAAAATCCAAAATGTTTAAATAGGATTATGTGAAAATCTTAGATTTACGGTTTATGGAAAAGGTACGTTGATGCGATTGCAAAGCCCGCGCTTAGTGAATGCACATGATCGCAACCTTGGTAATACGATTCTGTCCCTGTTAAATACTCACGACTGACCAGGCAATGAACGTCTTGCAGTTTTTCCGGGGTTAATAAAATCGAGTTGACGGCGGACACACTGAACCAAGTACCTCACAGTCACAAATTAGCAGAGATACAACCATGAAAACATCCGGAGAAAGTGACCCAACATGGCGACGACACTTGGGAGACGGGCTTGAGTGCAGAGTCTTTTCATTGTGACATGTGCATGCAGCACTGACATGACAACAAACCGCCACATGTGAATTGTAACCATTCATTTTGCACCTGTCAGTGTCACAAAACAACACCACCTGTATGCGCCCTCACGTGGGCAATACGTCATACCTTGGGAATTTTCGTAAACATTGGTTTCGTTCGAAAGATTTGGCTTTGACTTCCAGCGATGTTATTTTGTCACTTTCGGGATATATCTTTGTTTTGCTATGAACATTTTTTGTTGTTAACAGCCCAAATGTTATGACAGGCTTGTATCGGACATGTAATTAGTTGTGGAAATGACTACGTTACTGACTCCGAAGCTAGTCCGAAATTTCGAAAACGCCACTCTCAAAGATTTGTTTAGAGGGCGCTGTTGAAGTTACCAGTAGAAACTTTTTAACATAGACTTGGTGGCAGGATAACCCCCAGAGAGATTGACCCCCGATATCAAAAATGCTACCTTAAAATGAAAAAAAGTAGAACAAAGTTCCCTAAGAACGGTGTTAAGATTATGTATGTATGTTTTTGTGTTTACGTATATGTATGATATCCTGGGCAAATAGCAGAGCTGCAGCTCAGTCCATTATTTACCAAATTGTGGTAAACGCAAGAGATGTGGCCTACAGAACCGAAATGGGCCGGATTATTTGAGGGTACTCACCTTTAAAAAAAAATTATCATACAAATTCTTAAAAAAATATACTTGTATAATGTGCGCCTGTTAAAAATACGGTACACCAGTCTGTAATCTAGTGTTACTAATCGTCGAATTTGGCCAGGCCCCCCCCCCCTTTACATTTTCTAATTTTTTGGCTGATGAACCCCCCTCCCCTGCGAAAATTCCTGGATCCGCCCCAGTACACTATTAGGTAATTTAGTGTGCACGATTGTAGGATTTTATCGGCACTCCCCTGGGCACTCCCCACTGAATATATGTACAAGAAAAGGAAGATACTTAAATTTTTTAAAGATATTTTAAAGTTGGGTTTGATTATTTTTCTTGAGTACTTTCCTTTAGCCATGATATCTACTTTTACACATTGGGAATCTGTAACCAAGAAATTAAGCGTGACCCAATGAAATAAGCCAGAGGAAAAAATGGTCAATCTTTCACACAGAATAATTTGACTAAAACAAGTAAATTGGCTCAGATCTACATGTACATGCATTTAATATAAAATTTGCCATTGAAAATACAATTTTATTAAAAGTTCAAAAGAGTTCATTTCTAACATCACGTTGCCAGAAAACTAGAACATTTATAGAATAGAAAGTCTGATTCGTTTTAAACACCGCATCCACTTTAATAATTTGCCATTGGAAATGAAAGAAGTGACTGTTAATTTTTAAACCAAGTCACAAAAATCCAAAATTTACAGCACATAAATTCTGATAAGTTTAATAACTATATGGTGTGCATGTATTATAAATGACAAACACAACTACATGTACACTAAAGTAGGCGAATCATATCCACATCATCTACGTTCATACCAATATCCATGACAGAAAACCTTATCGCATTTGCATAAATAAATTTGCACTTCACTGTAACTCACATTGTTTTGATGTTCAAATGTATTTCACTCTTTAGTGATGGTTATGCGAAATGACAAAAACACTTCTAAATCGTATATAAATTCTTTGGAAGTTTTGGTAACTTAAAACAAAGGGAATACAAATTCATCTTGATGTTTTATAATTACACATTGCACTCAGATGAATACATGCCTTTCATGATTGCATGTGCTATCCAAATCTGGTCTCAGATTATCATGATCATGACTAATCCTACACATGCAAGAGTCAGTTGACTATTAAAAATGTTCACATTTGATGTTTCCCGTTTACCATCAGAAGCAATGAAATGCACTTCTTGTATAATCCTAATGACTGCAACTTTCTTAAAAGGTACATATGATTATTTGCTTCTTGTGCCTTTACTTTTGTTTGAAGCAACAAAATTGCTAAAAGTCTGAAGCAGGGTGCATGACAACTAACCTGTTGAAGGTTGATCAGATAGCATACATTTTAAGAAAACCGAGGAAATACATTCACTTTTTTGGGGTGTCTTGTAACTCGATTCCATTGCTAATGCATTAATGTTAAAATGTTCCGTGGACACCCTCTTTCAACACCACCTCAGTTTTCATCCAAACGAAACAATTTCAGCTGGAATATTTTCAAAGGGTATTTGGTACCACTCCTATCTTGACTTTGAGCAGAGTTTTGTCATTAAATCAATGCTTCTCCCGGTAACTGCAAATGATTCACATGGCTCTAAGTAACAGTGTTTCAATTTTAACTGCCAATGAACATTGGTCCAGTAAACAATACTTTCAGGTACTGTTTTCACACAAAACTTGAGCCCTGCTAACGAACTCATTGCACACAGCAAGATGTGACAATAACTTGAACATTGACAAATAGTCTCTTTGGTTTCAGTAAAATAAAAAAAAATAAAAAACATGTTTACATTATAAAATATGTATCTTTCATTATTAATTTAGAGCACAAAATTGCATCATGACAAGTTACAATTTATGAGTACTGATTTCAACAACGATTTATTATTATTTTTTAAAATATAGCATTGTCTCTGCTTATTTTGTTACAATTGTTTTATTGTAATAATGCAATATATTTTATAATGAAATAATCGTCGGTTTCCCTTTTTGGTTTATCGGGACATTTGTTTGTTTATTTTAACAAACCTTTGTTCTGATCCAGCGTAACCGGCACAAATTTGGACACCATGTATTGGTTCAGTTGAGCTTGCCATTTGGGGTCGAGATGCATGTTGAGAAGATGCCTGGTGATAGATGTCTTGAGATCCTCTGAGGAAAAAAGACCCCAAAGAATATTCAAAATGAGACGAGCAAAATGGTGGTTAATCTAAACACAGACTCAAAACGGCAGGTTCTTGCTGGCCGTTTAAAGTCTGATACTGGCAAGGGCGTAGATTGTCAGCTGGTTAGTGCGTAGATTGTTAGATTGACCTATGACGCAGGGTTCAACATTATTAAAATTTGTACAGGCATACTAAATGTCAGAATCATGAGGCCCTTGTATGTCCTCATGTACACGTGTCAGGTCAGATCTTCTGTTTAAATGGTGGTCTGACTGTCTGAGGTACTTCCCTCTCCCACACAACAAATGTTTTTATGCAAAAGATGTATGACTTATTTGATGCAGTATTCATAAGATAGAATTTTGCGTCGGGGTGATGTAAATCAATTAGGTTTTGCCCTTCACCGATGTATTAACTGTACATATAAACGGACAGTATAAATGGTCAGTGTGTTACCTCCTGAGTGAAAGTTGGAAAAAATTACTCGGGTGGGACTCGAACCCACGACCTCCTGCTTTCTAGTGCAGATGTCTTACCACTCATCCACCGATCTAAGGGGATATGATGTACATAGCAGCGAGTATCGCATACATAAGATGGAATTTTGCATAAGATGGAGGTTTTTTTCCAACTTTTACTCAGGAGGTAACACACTGAGTATACAGTGTTTAAAAATCGGGGGGAATCCTGTGGTCAAAAGGTTCCCATGTTTGACTCATGCATGATGTCATGTTGGGTCAACCTTGACAGGGGACACGTCGCTGTTGTTCTTGGGCAAGATACATTACTACAATTACCTCTCTCCATTGAGTATATATGGGGGGTGCAGACCATATACTGCTGATCTCGAGCTTCAGCAGGAAAGTGTTCTCATGGCCTGATGAACAGGGGTAATAAGTGTGAGCAATCCAAGAGTGTGGTATAAGAGTGCTGTATAAACACTGCACTACGATCATCCAATATCTTAACATCAGCACAAGGTGTTGGGCGACAATGCGTTCAAGAGTTCCATCTAACCTTTTTCCTTAAAAGGAAGAGTTTTTGGGCAGAGAGTCCACTGTACCTACCAGGTAATTCTGAGTTGACCACCCCAGGGTAGACAGGCAAAGGCCCTCAAGAGGTGACGACATGAAGCTTGTCCCTCAGCTCAGGATGGCCCTTCATCTGTAAGGCCAGGGTGTTGGAGTCTATGCCTGTACCGTCTGCTGTCTTATTAAGGATCATCTGGATGGACTTCAGATTGGAACCTGGGCAGGATTTAAAAATTTTACAAGATGTAAATTATCCTTTTTTGGTAAGAATAATTTTATGAGGAGTGCGTTCGATAACTTCCCCCAGCTTACTCGCGCCTGGCTCCTCGCATAATGACAGACATGCACAGTGAAGCTAAATAAACGGTTTCGGGTAAAGTTTTGTACAAGAGCTGGAAATATGGGCATAGCCAGGATTTCTTTCTAGAGGGGAGCAAAACATATTTTCCCAAAAAATTCCTGTTTTTCTCAAAATATTCTCGATTTATCATTTTTCATGGTTTTAGCGGGGGATAGTTCGGCCGTGATGCCAGCCTGTGCCGCGGTCACCTGTGCAATGGATTGCTTCAGGCCGCTGCACTCTTGCCTGGAGGCAGCCAGGTTGGCTCTGGTGTCGCCAAGCTGCCTCTCCATCTTTTGGTTAGTTTTAAGAAGCTCACTGTTCAATTTGCAGACGGCGGATATTGGTCGCAAGCTCTTGCTCAGCATCCCTGCACAATATTTTACAGGAAATCATACAAGATATATAAAAACAATTTATCTGCGGTTCGCGTGTGTTGCCTTTTCTCGCGGTCGATTTTGTCTTCTTCTACCTCTTCAAGAAAAAAAAGTTCACAAGCTGCTGCAACGCATTAAGCAGCCACTGCCAAAAACACCGGGCAAACTCCTTCTCTTAGCGATGAGTGTTACCTTGTTTTTTTTACGTGCGCATGGGGCATTGAGGAATGGGGAACTTTACTATTGTGACCAACCCCTGCTGGGCCATTCTTTGGTCACTGTGGGACATATCATTGGGCTTGTTTGATTTTGAAGCTTAATTTACCCCTTGTTAACTATAAATCTCATTGTTCAACATTTATTTCATGTCGGTAAAAGGTATACAGTTGCAAATGCAAATAATAATATTCATAATAGTATCTAATAAATTACAATTATTTACACAAGTAATTAATTAGTCACTGCCACCTCCATTAATTGTCTCTCTTTATAAAACACCTGAATAAATCCCTGTCATCTGATTGGTGGATCATTGATCACATGTCATTGAATTATTTGTCTCAACGCACGGCGCACACGCGGCACGCAGCACACAGTGCAATGAAGGTTCTATTGCATGGTGAATAGAACTTCCATTGCACGGTTTGACTGCTGCGAATGGTGGCACTGCGGAACAGCTTTTAACTTACATAAATTGGATGTAAAAGTTCTGAACTTGTTGCACTGTTCAAGTTTTGCACTTGTGGAACAGCTTTTAACTTGCCTTGCATGAATTGGTAATAACACTTCTAAACTTGTGGAATAGTTTTAAATCGAGATAAAATGAATATGATAGTTCTCAACCTTTTACATCAGTTAAATGGGACAGCTCTGAACTTGTCGAACTTTTAAACAGTTGTTAACTTGAATAAATTGGCTATTAAAAGTCAACCAATCAGATGAAGAGGATTTATTCAGGTGTTATATAAAACAAATAATGAATGTTTCACATTCGTGCAATGGAAAGAATAATTTCATTCGGAGGTAAAATTTTCGCCTCGTGGAATGGAACATTTCATTTCACCTCATGAAATTAATCTTACCATTGCACTTACTAACATTCATTATCTGTAGTAGTACATGTCAACATGTAGTAGTACATGTCAACATGTAGTAGTACATGTCAACAACCATTTGAAGTTAACTGGTTGAGGTTTGTTGCTTCGGTGCATGTTTATGTAGGTGGCATTTGAATGAGGAACTTGTGAAATATAAAATTTTGACCCAGAAATTTGGGCAGGGGATGCCCTCTCCAATGAGATGATTACTAACCTGTATGTTTTGTGCACAGCCAGGCCCGTCGCAAGCCCCGAGCATCAGGAGGGGCCAAATAGTACCAACAAGGGGGGCCACCGTTGGGGGGCCAATTGCTCGCCGAGGGGGGCCGGCCCCACCAGCCCCCCCCCCCCCCCCCCCCCCCCCCCCCTTGGTGACGGGCCTGTGCACAGCTGAGGCTGTGTTCCATAAGCTCCCGCTGAAGTCCTCCACGTCACTCATGCACGCAATCTTCCTGGGAGGCCTGCAGGGGCGAGTGGTCCTTCGGTGGCAAGTCATTCAGTGACACTGGCTATACCCTAGGACATTGGAGAAACATGACTCTAGTGACTATTAATGTAACCCTTTTTAAAAATTTTTAGCTGCGCACATAAAATGTACATAGTGCGCAAGCATGAGTGCTTGGCAGTACAGGGTACCAGTGAAAGCGCTGTTGCGCGTTGGGCTCTTTTAGTGTGCGGTGCGGAATTGGGCGCATTGGCATTACACTGCATGCACAAACCGCATAGTTGGGCGCTTACTGAAGCCAAATTTATAGCGCGTATCTTAAAGTTGCTAAGGAGCTTGGTTACGTGTACGCCGCAGGTGCGGCGCACTTCACTTGCCATTTGCTGTCTCCACAACTAATATTGTGAGTAGAAAATAGTGTTATTTATATCGTGACACTTTTCCCAGCTATTTAATTTAGGGCAAGTCTAGCTTGGGGTAATTCAGCGCACAGTTATCCAAAGTCCGCATATTTTTAGATGAAATTCAAAGTCAATGGGCTCAAAAATCCCACTGCAGAAAAACTGCACCTTTAAATATGTGATTTGCTTTTGAACTGAAACATTTTCAGAAAATAGTACTTGATATTCTGACTCTTGGGAATATTTTGAATCAAATGACAGCGCGAAAAAATATGATTTCTCTGTCCTTCTCATAGTAATTCTTGGCCGAAGTTCAGAACAACTCAGTAAGATATCAGTGTTGTATAGGAAAAGACTTGTGGAAAATCCCACTGCAGAAAAACTGCACCTTTAAATACGTAACATAGGGCTTTTCTGCAGAATGATTTTTTTATCAATTATAAGTCCCTGACTATGCGCATGCATGAACATAAAATCTGTCAAAGTTAGGCGGAATCGGCTAAAACGGTCACTGTGGACAGGATTTGACCTCAGCAACACGTGCTCTGCGGGCTGACTGACATACGATGTATGTGCGTATGTACAACGTTCGTGCATGTACATATACATTGTGGACGTCCTGTGCATATTTTAAAGCAGATGTATTGTCAACCTGAACTTTTAAGCGTACGCAGGGCATGTCCGAGTTCGCTTATTGCCTCGAAGCTTTGAAATATTTTAGACCTACCCTTGAATCGACAATTGAAGTAAAAACTAATATAACTGCCATGGTTGATTTTTCAGGAATTTTCAAATGAAAAAGAGTCTTTTTATTATAACTTCCGGTCTGATGACGTCATTCGCCTAAAACTACGCACACGTCTTAAGTGGGTCAAGGTCATCATATACACCAATATTAAGGTGATTCTGACAAACTTCACCTCAGACATCTATTCAAAATACATTTAAATTTTTTTTCAACCTGTCGCTAGAGGGCGCTCGAAGATTGCATGACGTCATCGGTAGATGATTTGCAGAATACTATCAGCCAAGTGACTAACACCGTTAAAAGCAAGTTCATACCTATTACCGCTTTTAAAAAATAAGCCACTTCCGGTTTTGGCCTTTTTCGACCGGAAGCAAGGGTCACGTGATTGCACGCACACTGAATGAAATAAAGACCTCAACCTACTCTACCACTTGCCGGCAACAGAATGCTGCGGACGCGTACGGTTGACTTCTTATGCATTTCTAAATATTAAAAGTGTCACAATTTAATTGCCTATAAATAAACACCTGATGACGTCATCATGACGTCATCATTACACGATGTTGTTTGAATTAGAGTCTTTGCTTGGACAAATAGTGATGTACATGAATTACTGGCAAACAGTCGAAAATGCCCTTACCCTCTACACCCCACCTTGGAATCTTTGAGATGTCTCTCCTTCAAAAGTTTCAGATCCTGTGACGTCACCAGTGACATGTACCTTAGTGACAACAAGAAAAGTAGTGTTAAAAAACACAAATGCCCCGCAACCATGCCTATTTCCATCACATAGCACCACTCTATTATTAACATTAACTGGGTCACATGGAACGTTCAACATCGTTATTGTTTTCTTTAGGCTATGATCCCATAATGAATTTTTGTTTTTAGCGACAGAATATTTTCAGTCTAAAGCAAGACCTTTCTCAAAGGCAAATCCTTTTAGCGTAATCCTTTGAGCATTTACAAGGCCTACATGAAAATAAGAATTCTTAAATAATCAAAAGAATATATACTTATTTGAATAAGCTTGAGTTATCATCACGACATTATTTCTTTGGGTTTTAATAATGCGAACAGTTGGCCTATGGGATCCTAAAGTGACTCAAAATCCTAAAAACAACCTACAGAGCTGCATAAACATGTACATGTACTACGATGCAAGTCTCAAGTTTTGGATACATATACATGTACTACGATGCAAGTCTCAAGTTTTGGATACATGTACATGTACATGTATTTGTTTTCTGTTGTTTCAATTAAAAATATGGCTGTCCAAGAAAAAAGGTGAAGAAGCCACATTGATTATACACAAAACATGTACATGCATAGACAGTGTACAGGCCCCTAATATTTGAGTGAGTGATTACATTTGCACATGTATATTGGTTTGGTGGGGGGGAAATGAAAATAATAAAACAAAATAAAATCCTTTTGTTTCAATTCTAATGACCTTGGCCTTTGTCTTGTGGGGTCCAAACTTATAAGTTATACTAGCAAGCCACATGTACATACACTGGTTTCGTAAAAAAAAAAAATTAAGAAAAAACTATTAAAAAAAATCAAATGAAATAAAATCCTATTGTTTTAATCCTAATGACCTTGGCCTGTCTTATGGGGTCCAAACTTACACATGTAAGTTATACTAGCAAGCTACATTGTATCAAGGTTCAAGACATACATGGACAATCCAGATTCCGATGTGGAACCATTTGTATGCACATGCACACACACACACACACTCGCAAATTTGTATAGGAGACGTTCCTTTGTTCTCGTGTAGTAAAGTGTTCAATTTTGAAAGTGAAGTTTCAAAATGCTCTTATTTTAACCAGAATTAGCTTCCTTGGCTGAAATTTGGACTTAATATCCCTTTTCTAAAACTCTTCCATTTGCGACAAATCAACCCACCTTGGAAATTCCTATTTTTTGAGTAAAACCCATATATCTATTTCGTGAAAACCTTGTGGAGACCTATTCATCTATAGAAATTGCCCTGTGGAGACCTTTACAATGTTTTGTTCCCTATTGTGTGTGTGTCTCCACAAGGATACAAATTTGTAGTCACCCCCCCCCCCCCCGCACACACACGGACGGACGGACAAGGTGGAAACAGTATGCCCCTTCGGCTTCGCCGGCGGGGCATAATAATGCCAAGGATCGTGACACGGTGGACAAAAGCACCATTTTTTCAACAAAGTATCTCCATGGTATACATTTTCGAAAAAAAAGATGGACGCAAAAAATTGGATGATGGGAAGGACATGTACATGTATGACTTCATTATGACGTCATCAGCTAACTATTACATAAACAAAATTGATAATATCTTCAGAACTACAAACATCACAACAACAAATGTGGTATCAAATTAAAGGGAACAACAAGATCTTTCATTAGAGTGGTATGTCAGTGGGATGTAATGTAGTACCGGATGTTGTTTTGGGCCAAAAAAGCCTTTTTTGGTAAAAAAAAAGGTGCTAAAATCATGGATTTGGGGTGATCATTTTGGCACCTTGTTTTAACATGCGAACCATAAGTGGCAATGTGAGTTTTTGTTCTTAAGTCAGAGAGAATGGTTCAAATTCTATGCCAAGAGAGTTTTTTGTAATTGATTATTGGTATCTTAAATGTTTAAACTTATTCCAAAGATAGGCAGACAAAAAACATAACATAAGTTACAGTCGGATGACCATCTCAGTGTATCTAAGTTACAGATTCATCACGTTACGTTGTCGAGCTTGGAGAGTTGGGCAATCTGTCGGGTGCATCTGCGATCACCATCGTAGGACCAGGTTTGTAGACATCGTTGAAGTCGTATCCTTGTAGCTTAAGACGCTACAAGCGAGGTGGTGCACTGGCTAGGATTTTTCACCAAATTGTAACCAATGGTTGTAATGGTCAGTGACAACAATGAAGTTGCAGCCGAATAAAGCTGCAGCAGTGCCACAGCTTCCTCTCGATATTGAAGAATGTGCTCTGGAACAGGATCTATAGGCTTTTTGAGGAAAATGCAATGGGTTTACCTTCCTGGGTAATACCATCTACTTTGAAGATGGTTTCTATACCTCTGGGTCAGAGAATCGTAGCCAGTACTGAGTTGAGATGGAGCGTTTAAGGGTTATAAAAGAAGCTTGATGGTCCTCTCGCCAGAGGAATGGCTTTAATTAGCTGATGACGTCATTATGAAG